CTTTAACTCCGCACAGCTTAAACCCGAGGGGGCGGGAGGGGCGAGGGCTCAGGCCTTTGGCCACACCACCCAAGGGCAGTAAGGACCTCACACGTCCAAAACCTTTCACGGTGGCCAGAGAGAGAGCACGTGTTGACAGAAGCACCAGCGACCGTCAGCTCTCTCGCCCCTCAGCTTCCTCTCGGGGACGCAAGCGTGGCGGGGGCAGCCTCCCTCTGGATTCTGGAGACACGCGCACAGAAGGCTGAGGGGCAGCTCCAAGGTCATCGGTCCTCGTTACTGAACCGAGCCGGGGGCCGCTGTGCGGTGTGTCCCCCGAAACACCGTGTGGGGTCCTCGCTGAAAACGAGGCCAGGCCAGAGGACCCAGCAGACACGGGCGCTGTGCCCGCACATCTGCGCTTCCTGGAGCAGGCGGTGTGACCGCAGAGTCACAAAGCCTTCTGAGAAAGACCACCAAAGACACTTGGCTCTTCCGGAAGTGAAGCACGCGTGGGGCAGGAGAAGCATCACACCTCAAAACCGTGGGGCTACAGGCAGCGACTCCCACGGCCTGAGGCCCTCGAACCCCACTGGTCCAAGCCAGTGAGCGCCCAGCAGGGGAGCAGCCCCCTCCACACACCCGGGCACCTGTCACTGCGAGACGGCCTAGCTGTCCCTCCATCACTGAAGAGCAAACCAAGGGAGGCATTTTGAAGGAAATGCTAACCTTCTGGGGACATGAGAACGCAAGGAACCAAAGACAAGACGGAGGAGGCAGGGGGCAGCCCACAGCCGCATGTGGGCAGGGCACGCAGGGATGGGGACTGGAACAGCACGCTCTGCTAGCTCGAGGGCCTCAGATCAGGGCTACACAGGGAGGGGCGGGAGCTCCGGGCCTGAGGTCAAAGGTTAGTTGTGCTCACACTGCTCTGGAAGCAGTGCGGCTGCTTTAATCGTATGAGTGCCCGGAGAGTCGGTGGTCAAGCACCTGGGTGAGTTCATGAGGGTGCACAGAGGGAGGAGGGGGCAGAGGGAGCCACTGCCAACCCATCTGTAAGGGAAGCAGAAGACAAAGCGCTTCCCGCTACGGGCAGGACGCGAGAAGCCACCACAGCAGGCTGGTGTCCGTCTGGCCCAGGTTCCTGCATGGCCCGCGCGGAGCCGCGCCGGCCAGCCCGCTTCGTTCCTGCTGGTCTCTGAGAATCCGCAGTCTGAGCTGGGCAGCCTCGAGGAGGGGAATGCCCACAGGTCACAGTATGGCACACAAATTTTCAAGCCAGCACGGAACAGAGATGTTCACAATTCAGTTTATTCGGGCAGCATTTTGGCTATTTTCAGTGTGGACAGCTACGCTTAAGAACAAACATGAATCTACTGAGAATTCAGAGGTAGCCTTTATCTGCGTTTACTTTTTTTAAACTAAAAGGTATTTAGGAACCACCTTCTATAGTGATTTGGCTAAGCCAATACATTCACTGGAGACAGTAACATGGCAGAACATAACCAGAAAAGCATTGAGTGGGGGCCCCGCACGGCATCGACGTGCCACTGCCATGCGCCCAGGGGACTGCGTGGGTTTACGACTCCTTCCCGTGACTGATACTGGACGTCCTGACCACAGACGGGATCGCACCCTGGAGTTGGAGCAAACACCACCACTAAGCCAGCGAACACCGCAGGCAGAGAGTGCTGGGCTGTGGTCTCTCCACGCCCACGGTGCTTCTGACGCAACAGGGACCTCGCTGTGTCAGACACAGCAGCTCTGAGCACGGGCCACACAGGTGCCTGCTCTCCACGTGGCCAAGTGCTGGACGGAACCAGGAGAAAATGCTTTCGGGAGTCATGGCAAAAAACAAGGCATTAAACGCACCACAGAAGTGTCTGAGGGATTTACAATGAATCCTCTTAAAAGTAAACCTTCAGGCCGCAAAGAGCGCACACTCCCCGTCCAACAGATGGCAAACTGCCTTTTATAAAAACAAGGAGAGGCCGGTTTGTCCTTCATGAACGGGTTAAGAGACACAAGGCTAAGGAACAGAGCTAAGCCCACAACCCTAACACGTAATACTGAGAACGGTGGCAGTGTCGGAATCGAAGCGGCGTGTGCACGCGTGTTGCCTCTGCTGCCCTGAATCTATTTACAATCATTTCAAACAAGTACAGCAGATGCGAGGTGGGGCATAATTTAAAAAGGGAGTCGTCAAAATCAGTGCAATTATTTTGAGCTGAAAATTTCCTTACAAAAAAGAGTCGGCAACGTGTGTCACGCGAACAGCCCATGACAAAGTCGCCTGTGCATGGCAGCTGCGCTGAAAAACGTCGCAGCAGCTGAGGCCGCTGGCCGCGGCAGCTAGAGGGACTCCTCTTGGTTCCTTTGGGGAAGGATTGAAAATATAAATAAAACAGCTGCGTTGGGAAAGTGAGGTGCACGGACGCTGAGGAAAGTGTCTCTACTGTACATTCCTTTTCTGGTGAGCGCGAGAGACGAGTCAGAGAGAGGTCACAGGGAAACGGCTATGGCTTGTCCGGGCCACTGGGATTGTCCACTGACTGGGTTACGTCACTTCTGCAGTTTCTCCCGATGGAACCGCCTCGGGTGCAGAAAATGCCCACGGAAATCCTTTTGACTGTCCAACAGCTCAGAGTCCCACTGGAGAGCCGCCCAGGTCCTGGCGGCCCCAGGACCGAGCCGAGTGCTTCCACGATGCGGGGCAGAGGCGCCGCCCCAGCCCCGCGGGGCTCCTCGGGGTGTCCTGGAGTCCCAGCTGCTTGACGCTTGGCTGGTTCGCCCTTCACATAGTGTATCAAATATATAATCTGACTGAAAAACTGCCTTGCAAAAATAAAATTTAAACCACCCCACAGATCAATGTAAAATTACATTGCTGCATATATAAGAAAAACAATTCATCCAGAAAAACTACACTTTGTGGCTTTCAAAAATAAATCATCCGGCAAGCCCGAAGGTCAACGGTAGGCGACGTATAAAAGCTGAGGAAAAGAACTGCTATCGTGCCCATCAGGTGCCACGTGCACGGGAACACCCACACCGAACCAGAGCAGAAAGGCAGACAGAAACTGCAACGCGTGCGTCTCACCGCAGCAGCAGCAGCAGCAGCAGCACCCTCTGCGGAGTCACCCAGGCCCCGCCCACCCAGCTGGAGGGACTGCGCTCCGCCCTCCTCCCCAGCGGGCGCCCAGTAACCGGGATGGAACCCGGGATGGAACCCGGAGCCTGGGCCAGCCCGCCCACCAACGGGTGCGCTGTGGTTCTGGAGCGCACATGTTCACACGAGGGAGCGTGGGAGCAGCACCCGAGAGCGACAGTGTCGAGGAGAAAAGGCGGGCCCTGCCTTGCGGTCTCCAGAGAGCAAGTGTAAGCCTGAGGGCTTCTCCAAAGAGAAAACCCGAACCCAAACCAGAGTGACGCCGCCCCTTTCTTAAAGCACAGGCGCACCCAGTTCTAGAGCTCCTCTGAACGGGGAAGCGCGAGCCAGCGGTGCACGGCCAGCGGGGCAAAGGCCTAGGGCCGCCAAGGGGCTCTCCTGCAAAACGGCGGCTTGGATGGCTCCCCGGGGATTTGGGGGGCACAGGGAGCTTGTCTAATGCAAGAGAGTGACGGAGGGATGGAAATACACTGATTTTTCTCAAAGTGAACACTTTAAAACATACCACGAAGAGTACCAACATAAGAATGTAATTGGGGGAGTTTTTTTGTTTTTTTTTTTTAAAGAAACAAGATAAATCCCAGTTTTCCTGTTCTATGAATCCCAATTTCTACATCATTATTTCATTTTCACATTCAGTTTGCTTCAAGCAAGGCACACCTTACTAACTGGGGGGTGGGGGGCACAGCCGGCCAGATGCGGGAGCCCCCCCCTCGGCCTGGGCCTGAGGTAGCCCTGGGGGGCCGAGCAGTCAGGGGACAGCAAGGCGCCCTTTCCGGCTTCCAAATGAGCGGGGCGGGGCCGACGCGACTGCTCCGTGAGGCCTTTCGCCAGCTCAGAACTCAGAATTTGCCCTCACACGGGGAGACGGGCAGCAATTTGGGAAAACAGTGATTTACCTGAGAGAGTGCACCTACAGCCGATAGAACGCGGAACCGCCCGACACGTACCAAGGGGCGTGGCCAAGCCCACCGGGGACGTTTGGTTTGTTAATGCCTTTTGCGTGAAAAGTTTTACAAAACGAGCAGAGGGCTACAAAAAGTACCCTTCTCAAAGTACTTTGGCCCACGGAAAAGAAAACTTTGCCTTCAAAATAGTTTTTAGAAAATTTAGGTCTCATTTTCCGCCAGACTGAGACCTTTTCTAGGTCTTGGCTTAGGGAGCGCCTCCCCCGCAGCTGAGGAGCGCCCCCTGGCCAGGCCCGCCCTGCGCGAGGGGACGCCCTCCCCAGAAAGTTCTGGAGCAGGGGGTCTCAGGCTCCGGCAGCCCTGGACCAGGGGGTGCGCGGAGGCCCAGGAAGCTGCCCGTCGCCAGGCCCCGCCCCGCCGCCACCGCGATCCTGTCGCTCGTGCTAGAAACACACCTTTGAGACAAGCAGTTTCAGAGGATCCTAAGAGTGGCCGACAGGCGACCTAATTTCCGTATGTTAGTGAAGACTCCCTCCCCGCCTCGAAGGCGCCTAGTGATTTCAGCCAAGAGTGTATTGGTGTCCTTCCTAATGCAGGAGAAAGTGCCACTTGCCAATGAAACGACAGGGAACTGCGACATTTCTCAGAGCAAAGGCGTCTGCCATTTAAAAAGACAAAAAAAAAAAAAAAAAAAGATACAGCAAGAAGAGACTAATGCCATTAATAAGACACCCACATGCACACACAGGGACACACACACACACACGCACCACTCTGAGTAGAGAGCTTCACAATAGTATCCTTTTGTCACGGCCGCCAAATCCAGGCCGCGTGTCCATGAGCACCCACCCGCGGCTCCCTGACCCCCCACCCCCCAGAGCGCAGACAAGGAGACAGGCGGGCACCCCCCCTCGCAGAGGTGCGCCTGCCGGGACCCTCCGCCGCCGCGCTGGAGGTAAACGTCAGGCTGGTGGGGAGGGCCATCAGCAGGGACAGGAAGCCGAGGAGCACAAAGCAGCACAGGGGAAGGCGTCCCCTTCCTCGAGTCTACAATGAACATGGACTTGACTCTCAATAGAACTGCTTACGAGGACAGAAAGCCCATTTAGCACAAACAGAGCTGCTGCTGTTGCCTTTCTCCAGCGGCTCGTGGTGTTTCACTCTCAGTGCGATGGCCTCTAGGTTGGCGACCCTGCGCCTGGGCCCAGAAGGCAGACCCCCGCAGGAGGGTCAGGACGACGCTGGCTTCCGCCTGCCATCCTGCGGGGGCCAGGGCCCTGGTGCTGCCCACGGGCCTTGCACCCAGCAGGGCCGCCGCCTGTGGCTCTCTCTGCATTTCCATGCACGGACCCTGTGAATCTCGCCAGAGGAGAGCGCTCCGGTACGCAGCCTGGCTTCCCAGGAACGAAGAATGCAGACATTCCATTTGTGCTTAATCGGCTGAGCGACACAGGGCGAGGAGGCGGGGGGCGGCGAGCGACCGCGGTGAGCGCCCCCGGGCCCCCGGGAGGCACAGGCGACAGTCTACACTGAGGGGGCGGGTCGTGGTCGCGGTCTGTCAGTCGCGTGCTCCTGCGCTTAAGCACTGAAAGCCACAAGAGGCCGTCCAGTCTCCAGGCTCCGACACACTCCTGATGCGCTACACAGGTCACAAGAAGCACCCCGGAGTCAATAAAATGAAAAACAGCATCTAGCTATCACATTAATACTGCCAACCAGATATATATATTTCTTCTTTTACATTAAAGACATAACAGTGAAAAAGGATTGTACTGTATGTATCACCACAGACCCGTATTCTTTAGAAACTTTGGAAAATAAATGTCACAGTCCTCGAGGACAAATCTTATGATTAGACTGTCGGCATATTGTCTTTTTTCTTTTTAAATAAATTTTTATTAAAATGGCACTTGTCTGCCAATCTCTCTGGACCTAGAAATGTTGTAAACGCACGTGACCTCCGCTGCCCCCGCGCCTTCCCTTGAGCTGAGTGAGAAGCGGGCAGCGGCCGGCGTGGCCACCTGCCCTCGGGTCCACGAGAGCTCACACGAGCCAAGTCGGGAGCACACGAGCGTCCCTGCGAGAGAGACTTTAGTGGCGACGCCACACCGGTCAAGGCTTTAAAACCACAATTGTGTCTGCGCGGCTTTCCCTATCAGAGAACGTTCACAGCTAGTTTGAGCCCATCAATTTCATAGAGAATCATGTGTTAAAAACAAGTAAATCGAATGACCAAATAAATTAAAAATGTTTTAAAGCCCTGAGTTCATAGACTGCTTTTAGGAGATATTTTAGGAAACACGGGACTCATAGATTTTGGCAAACCATATTTTCTACGACAGTGGATCTCATACAGGTCTGCAGTTCAAAATCGAAGTTTGACATCTGGACGGAAGGCATTCTGGAGAATGGATTATCTACGAAAGTCAATGATGTCTCATGTCCCATATGCTGGCTGTCACAACAGGGCTGGGCGTCGGTTGGTCTGAGTGTAGCTGGTCTCATGTGAATCCAACTCGGCACACAATCGTAAACACGACAACACGTCAGGCAAAGTACATGGTGCGCAGTGTGTCCTGATGGACCTGGACGGCCTTGGCCAAGGCCTGGTGGTCGCGCCCGTTACTCTGCCCGGAGGTATGGCTTCCTTCAGCACTGCGGGGACAGGGGACAGAGAGTGCAGCCTGGCATGCAGCACGAGGCAGCACCCTGGCAACCCGGTCAGGACCACGCACCGGACACCTGCTACCAAGTGGCGGCGAAGCTATGTTGGCGTGTGGGCATTGGGGTTGCAGCGGCTCCAGCTGCCGCGGCCCCGCTGCTTCCCACTCTGGAAAAGCAGCCGCCCACGCCTGTTTCGGGCGCCCCCTGCTGTGACCTCCAGCTGGAGAGGCCTGCCACTCACCTGTCATGTTCTTTATCCACCAGGTGGTATCTGGCCCGGAAGGCCACCAGGTGAGCGTAGTATGCTGGCGCGGGGATGGACACGGAGCGCGTGCAGCGCACGTAGGTGTGACACAGCTGGTAGGTGAGAATCTGCAGCTCATCGGAAGAGAAACGATTGTCATCCCAAAGCACGTGATAGTGGGAAGGCCTGCTTGTTCCCTAAAAGCAGATGAGAGGGTCAGAGAGGCGTGCAGAACTCACCTGCGGGTGGGCACGCGGCGCGCAGGCCGTGCCGCGGCCGCACGCTGGGGACGCGGGGGCGGTCAGTGACAGATGGACACTTACATCATTATGCGTTACTGTCAGAAGGCATCAGAACCACGTGTTTTATCACCCCGTGGGTAAACACAGACCACACATTTATTTACGTAGAGAAAACCACGGAAGAGCTACAACACGGGAACGCCGGCTGTTTCAAGGCCATCGCCCGCGCACCGCAAGTTCTTGCAGTGTCTTATTACAGGCAAGGAAAGCTCTCTTGACACGTTACACATTAACAACACTTCTTACAAGGGGGCTGGCACACGCTGTCATTTCATGCAGCCCGTGGCCCTGCCCGCCCTCCCAGCGCGGAGCACAGGCAGCGTGGCCACCGCCTGCTCCGCCTCTGTGCTGGGGGCTCAGGGACAGACGCTTCTGTCCGCTGCATCATGACTGCACCGCTGGGCATCCTACTTGGCCATCTCATCGGTGGCTGTCATGGGCCTGTGGGCAGTGGGGACGTTGCAGAAGGGCCTGCTGGGCACTGATGGCGCTGATGGCAGAGCAGGCCCTTTCGAGGCCCATCGATGTCACAGAACATAGCTATCTCCGCGGAGCAGAGCCCCTCCCCCAGCCCTGCAAAGGGCCTGGGAAGGCACAGCCAGTCAGCGAGCCAGAGGGTGGCCAGGGAAGACCCCGCCACGCGCCCAGTCCAGACGAGGGCCCCAGCGTGCCCGCAACGGACGGCTGCCCCAGGAGATGACAGGAGAGCCGTTGTGCTCTGGGGCGCCACCCATGGGCAGTGACAGCACCACGTCCACGGTGAACTCTCATTTTCTGGCCTCCTACTCTCCACATCCTGGTGGGGGGGGGGGGCGCGGTGCTCTCCTGGAGCCTCCGAGAAACCGGAGCGCCTGCACGAGGACGCTGTGGGCCGGGCACGGGCGCCCAGCACCGAGCTCTTCCCATCCCGGCAGGCACAAGCGTGCGGGTCAGGGGCTTGGCTCCGGCAGCAGGCCGGCCGGCACGGCACGCCACGCCCACGGTGGCAGTGTCCCCTCGGAGCCCCTGCCGGTCTGCGGGGCGGTCTCTTTGCCGAGAGAGACAGGAAGAGCCTTGAGGAGACGAGGAGCTGGAACACCCGTCGCCGCACGCCCCACAGACGTGTGTTGGGGACACAGGGCGGAAGCCCGCCAAGGCAGTGGGAGCTCAGAGTTGGCCCCTCCGCCACTCACTGCTCTTCCCGCACCTCCCAAGACCTGTCACCTGCTGTGAGGCCAACTTTCTCCCAGCTCGCTAAGCACCAGGCACACAGGGACACCCTTGTCCCCCACCAGTGTGCCCGGACTTGGTACCCGCTGCTCCTTCTGCCTGGACCTCACCTCATCTAAGAGGCACCCCCACCAGCACCCCCGCGGGGCCGCTGTCCCCAGCACTGGGCCCCCCCGAGCCTCTGCCCACCTGCTGGCCACCTGACAGCAGGCTGGGGCCCCTCCCAGGGGGCCTCCACGGAGTCCTGGAACCCCAGGAACGCCAGGCCCGAGGCTCATGCTCCATGTGGGTCTGCTAAAGGTGTGGACGCCACCTCAGAGGCGCCGAGAGGCCCGCAGGGGACCCCCCCCGCCTTACCTGGATGCCGGCGTGACTGCACAGGTAGAAGTCAAACTCGGTCGGGTGGGTGATCTTCGTGTCCACGGTCGTGCCTGCTGGAATGTTCCCGCTCTTCCCGACCTTCGGTGACACAGGAGCCGTCAGAGGGCAGAGTGAACGAGTGGCCTCGCCCACACCCCCAACGCTGGGCCTCTGGCCCCGGGCTGCCTGGTCCGAAGACCTCAGACTGGCCAGTGTGGCCGCTCAGCGCCACAGCCCTTGCACAGGACCTCACAAACACCAGCCACCGAAAGGACCTCACTCTACTCCTGCCCGGACCGAAGTTTACACTGTAGGACCAAGGTCGCCAAAGACCCCACTCTAGACGCACCCCCACCCCACCACCGGCCCGATAGAGTCGTGCCCCGCTTCAAACATACGTACAAAAACCGGGGCCCCATGGAGCCCCTCAGCACCCTTGGATGTACTTTTTACTTCTTGTCAACCTGAAGCCTTTGGGTTTTTGAAAGTAAAACATCTAAAAATATTGCCCCTGGTTTTGCTGCCATGTTGCTGAATTCGAAGTCTCGAATTCGGACTTCGTTCCCGCACATGCTTGTACTTTCGCTATGTCTGAGCCGCCATTAGCGTGTTACACTGTGCGACACTGCAGGTGTTAAAACCGTATCCAGGTACTGGGTGGCCCAACAGTCTGTGTGCTTTTTTCCATAAAACAAAAGACACGGTGTTCATTTTCACCCATAACGTAGATTTGAACACCGTGTGTCGGCTCTCCCCCGTGGGGTACAACGAGGACTGTTCCCGATGTCTCAGTGTGGCCGTTGCCAACTTGACTGGCCCCGCCCGACCGCGGAGCGTCATCCCGCGGGAGAGCTCCAGCACGGACCTCCGCAAACCACTTCTGACATGTTCGCTTCACCGCAGCGCCTTCTCCACACACTCCACAGACCTGTTTTTGCGTTTAAGCTGCATTTTTACCGTTCTTGACATAATAAAGCATAACATGCCGAATCTGTTACTTTCTTCCATCTTCAATATTAAAATGGCTACCCCAAAATTCACCAATTTTGGTATTTTTTTAAAAAATGCATGTTGATATGACAGCTGTCACAATACAATCTCATGAAATTGTTTTGAATGAAGTTAAAGACCACTAAGCGCTACTAGAGCATCTTACGGAAAAAACCCAACGAGCTTTTCGGCCACCTCAGCTCTCACACGTGCTCTACTTGCCGCCTTCGCTCCATGCCACAGCTCCGAGATGCGCCTGTTAGACAGCATATGGATTCTCAGCGCCTTCAGCGTGTGAACATGCCACGGCTTTCCTCCTGACGGCGCACAGTCAGGCGAGTCTCCTGCTGTCACACACGGCGGACGCGGGAGTCTGTCGCTCCAAGGCTGACGTCCAGGACGGCCAGAGCGCGCCCCAGGTCCCTCCAGAACCGTCACAGTCCAGGTTGTCAGTTTGTGCTCCCGTCAAAGTTGTGAGTCCTCTTCAGTTAGGCGTTCCCCCCTGTGGCTGAGCAGCGTGCTCTGGGTGTTGGCCTGGTGACCCTCTGCCCCCAGCGTTCTCAGGAGGGGTCCAGAGTGGCTGAGACGCTGGCTGCCAAGGGGCTGGACCAGAGCCAGCCTGTGCTCCTGCCTCGGCACAACACCCATGCCTCGCCGTGTGGCGGGGGAAACCCGCCTTTGGAACTTTAGACTCACTTCCTAAAATAAGCTGAGTCGCTTCCCTGCTTTTCCTGTTCTCTGCCACACGTCACGATGATGTTCTTAAGCGCTTGGCAAAGCTTGCCTGCAAACCCTCCGGGCCTGGCGGCTCTGGGCCCCACGGCTGGGCCCCCTGCTGTTCTTTGGGTAACTTGCGTAATTTTACAAACAAGCACACCCGTTCGAGTTTTCCAACACATTGGTGTAAAGTTGGTAATGTCCCATGATGATTTAAATGGTATAAAACTCCTATAGTTACACTTCCCTTTTTGACCCTAATGCTGTTACGAGTTTTCTCCTGGTTGAGCCTGTGCAGTTTACCTGTCCTCAAAGATGCTCATGTTGACCTGCTCTATTGCTTCTTCATTCATCACTGTATCACTCACTACCCTGGGAGGGGAGCGGCTGTAGCAATAAGCTGACCTTGAGCTCCCCCGACTTCTGGCCCCGGGGGGAGACTTGCGGTGGAGGAGGGAGGGCGGGGGAGGCAGCCCCTCAGCTCTCCCAGGCCCGGCTCCGGTTTCCACCTTCCCCGCACCGGCAGGCTTATCTGGCGCACCCACGCCCATGCTGCTTTAGCCTCGCTGCCTACAGTTTGATGGGAAACACCCTTAGTTTTGTTCAGTTCTGATTATTTTGTAATTTTTATTCTCTTTGCATGTTTAATGCATGTGTTACTCAGAAGTGAATTTAAAGCTTTCCTAACCGTCCTTTTCTACTGTTCACTTTAACTGTATAACGATCAGAAACTGTATTTAGTAAGACACCGAGGTTTGGAAATCTGCGCCCTTGTCCGTCCCCTGGTACGAGGCCAACGCCCCGAGGCCTTGCACGGGACCCCAGCTGTTTCAGACCGGACCCCTCCTCTCCTCTCCGGCTGGTTCCGTCACCCTGCCAGTCGCTGTCCGGTTTTTACCAGCGTGCCCGCCCTGTGTGCCCCGGGCAGCGGGCCGTCCATCGCCCTACAGAAGGCCGCCTTTGCCGTATTTCCCCCTTCCCGTAGTTTTCGGTCATGGCGCTGGGGACTCCCACGCTCACGGCCGTTGTGTCTTCTCAGCGAACCATCCCTGTGCCTGTGACTTAGCACCTCTCTTTCTCACTGTGACTCTCTGCACTCCGTCTCCCATTTAGACCACAAGCACATCCTGTGCCACGTCCCCAGGGTGGTGGCAGCAGGCTGTTGTGACGTGCTGCCTTCGACACTGCCTGGGCACGCGCCTGCCGGCCTCTGGCCCTGCCGGGGCCCACTTGAGGGCTGCTTCTTGCCTAGCGGCCCCCCCTCTGGGCAGGTGTCCTTCCTGAGGCAGATGGCTTGAGGCATCGCGGTGCCGCGTGACTCTGCGTGTTAATCCTGTTGGGAGCACGGAACACACTCCCCCTGAGGATCCCACACCTGCAGCCACAGGTGCCAGCCTTGCGTCTCCCTCGCACTCTTCTGGCTCTGGAAGGCCAGGGGGCGTCGGAGCAGCCTGGATGCCCCGCCTTCCAGATGCGCCGCGGACCCTTCCCTGGGCCCCCACCTCCCCAAGGCCCCCCGAGTTCACGCCACGCTACCCCGCTTCCTGGGACTGGCCACCACTGTGGCGCTCACCGTCCAGTTCTTTCTCTGGGCCACCTCCCTGGTCATGTCATTATCTGACAGATGACATCTCTTGCCTGGTCTTGTCCCCCAGACCGGAGGGATTTCCAGGCCCAGGTTCTCACCAACCTGAGGACAGCTCTCCCCTCACGCCCGGGAGGCCAGGTCCCCCCGCACAGCCCCTCTGAGAACAGGTGTCCCTGGCACCTGGGGCGGAGCCGTCCCCGCCCGGCTGGCAGACGCACCCGCTCGTTCTTGTCGGTGCAGAAGAGCCGCGTGTGGTGCCTCTTCTGAACCACGATGAACGTGATCCCTGGCTGGTAGTCCTTCTCCAGCTTAATGCACGCCTCTCGGATGGCCAGCAGCTCGTGGTGGAGGACCTGGGGAGAGAGGCGCGCTCAGGGCCCGCCGCTGCCTGGAGCGGGTCCCTCAGTAACAGGAGCGTTGGACAGGCTCTCGTTGCTAGGTCTCCCCGGCCGCTGGCTTGCTCTCAGCTGTGTGCCTCGCCTTTCCGAGCCTGTTTCTTCATTTGCAAACAGCGTGAGCGGCACCCAGGCTCCGCGCTCAGGGGTTTACACGAGAGAACGTGTGGAAACACTCAGTGCAGTACGCAACGTCCTTGGTGGCTCCCACATGCGCCAGTGACAGGCTCCAGCGGCTCATTTCCTGCCTCCAGCCCCCACCCGCACAGACCCTCAGGCCCTGGCCCTGGCCCACCGTCCACGCTGTGACCGGGCCGACGCGGGGCCGGACGGCAAGCGCACCACCCTCCTCGGTAGAGAACCCCTACAGCCCCCCCCGCCAGCAGCCAGGCGGGTCGTGGACACCCCAAGGACAGAGGGCACGGCCCGAGGCGCCCACCTGCTGGAACTGCCCCTCGGACACGCCATCGCGGTAGAAGATGATGCGGGTGGGCTTGAAGCGCGTGGACTTGTAGAACTGGATGAGCAGCTCGCGCACCATGGCCGCCAGGTCCTGGATGATCTCCTGCCGGTGCTGCTGGACCCGCACGGTGGCGCAGTAGCGGTTGGGGTGGGCATCCATGCTGCCCACGACCTGTTGGGCGGGAGGCATGCTCGTCAAGCGCCCCGAACACCCCGAGCCCAGGCAGGAGCTGTGCTTCTGCCGTTTCCCTCGCACGACGGCGTGCGGCCCTCCTGAGCTCCTTCGGGGTGGGAAGGGGTGAGGGAGGAAACTAACAGCAACCTCGCAAGGTTAGGAGCCGATGTAGTGACACGCTCAGCCCGGTGCTAGGCACAAGCATGGGGGCGGGGGAGGGGGGCAGCTGCCCAGGAAATGTGAATATTGTTTGATGAGTCTGGAGGGAGGATGCATGAGTTGCCTGGGGCCAAATGCCCCCTCCCCCAAGAACCCCAACAGGTACTTTCAGACAAATGGCAGATACACAACCACCCAGAGGTCCCTCCAGCAGTCCCCGTTGCAGGCGCTGGGGACGAGCAACTTCCGATCCGAGGCTCCCTCAGCAGAGAGGCCTTTGAGGGAGCAGCCCTGCTGGGCCATCCACAGCTGCAGCCGTGCTGCCCAGGGCGCGCGCCCGCCCCGCCCTCAGGCACGGGAAGGCCTCAGGGGGTGCGGTCAGCTCCAGCGAGGAGGTGAGGCCCAGCCCCGCCCCCGAGGGGTGGCGGCAGGCGGCCGGGAGCTCAGCTCTGCGACCGACCGTCACCTGTGAATCGAGGCCTCCCCCCATCCCCCACCGGACAAAACAAGGAGGGAAGGGACCTCGGTGTTCCAGCCAAAGCGCACACTTGTTTCAAAGACACAGTTAATGAGCTCCCTTAAGGAGGCTGGAAAGGGGGTGACACGAGAAAGGCGGGCTCGAACTCTAGCCTGTCTACTTATTTTACACATCGTGTTTCGTAATAAAGAGTGGAAAACGTCTGCAGTGAAGGCCAGCACCTGCCCAGGGGACTGTGAGGCCGCGAGGTGAGGCCCGGGAGGGGCTGCAGGTGAAGAGCCCCCCTGGGGGCGGGGCCGGTCTGGGGCAGGCGAGGTTTGGTTGGGGGTTTTGGAGACAGTGCCAACCCACACGACTGTCACTGCTTCTCAGACGCCTTTATCCACCTGTGGCGCCCCCCAGACTCGTGCTTCCCAGGAGACCTGGATTTCACCCACTGCTCTCTAGCAGCCCTCACCACTGTTCAGGAATACGCTCCAGCCATATGGCTGCAAGGGACCGTGTCCCCTCCCACGGGCAGCTCAAGGGGGGACGTCCCGCATGCAGGCTCCCGGGAAGCACCGACACTCACAGCAGCGATGGAAGGCTTCTTCCCGTCCCCGGCGGGCGGGTGAGTGACATCGGCCCCCAGGAAGATGACAGGCTGCTGGAACACGGGCGGCCTGCAGGGGAAGCACAGCGTCAGCAGCGGAGGCGCGGCCGCCCCCGTGCCGGGTGGCGGCCCTCGCAGAGCGAGCGCCCGTCACACGCACACAGAACACGCCTCCCAGACCAGGACGCGGTCTGCGGTCTGCGGTCTGCTCCCAGAGACCCCTGTGCAGGGAGAGTGCAGGGGGACCGCGCGCCAGCTCGGGGCCAAGGCCCCCCCTCCGCCCACACCCCGACGTTTCCAAAATGCTCACGTAACAGCAACAGGACGCCCCCGCTCGGCTCCTCCCGGATGCCTAGCCGCCCCCTCCGGGGCAGCCCCTGCTCTCCACCCACCAGACAGGGTCGGGGCCGAGGGGCCAAACGGCCCGGTGGAGAAGCGCCGCTGGCCTTCGGGACCCTGGCTGCACGGCGGCCGGGGGCTGGGCTCTCCAGGCAGCCGCAGGTCCCCACACGCTGCCGTCCTCGCCCACGGGGGCACCCTGAGGACGGAGAGAGGCCTCCCCGCCCCCACCCCGGCCAGGAGCCGAGCGCGCCCCATCCCAGGAGGGGCGTGGCAAAGGCAGAGCCCCCTCTGCGGGGCTCCCACCGGACGGCACTCACAAGCAGCGGCCGCCCGCCCCGACGACGCTCCCTCAGGAGCCCCTGCCCAAGCTGAGGCCGGACGAGAAAAGGAGGTGTTTCGAGCATGCACCCCGTGGCAGCGCCCACAAATGCAGGCAGGCTCCCCGCCTCGACCCCCAGTGCGGCTCTACCCGCCCTGGCCTCTCCAGGCCTCCCCGGGGGCCGGCGGAAGGCTGCTTCCTCCCGAAGCACAGGGGACACTGCCCTCAGCCGGGCCGCCGGCCCTGCCTTACGAGCCTGTGTGCCTCAGGGCCCTCGGATGCCATCCTACAACCGCCCTCTGAAACCTGGAGCACCCACGCCGTCCTCGCTCCCCACCAGTGACAACGACGCCCGTGGCAGTGAGAGGAGCGGGGCTGGCCCCCGGCCCCCACGGGCGGCTCCCTCCCTGGCGCTGCGTCACCCCCACAGCATCCGCAGCGGCCACGACTCTCAGCCTTGCCAGTCAAAGCCCCGCCGCCCGTGGACGCCACTTCCCTCCCTCGGCCGCCCGCTCCTTCGGCCGCCCACTGGGCACTGCTGGCAGAGCCTCCAGAGCGAGCACAGCCATTCACTGCCTCTCCGCTTCCGGGCCCTCCCACCCCACCCCACGCTGCCATGGCAACCAGGCTCCGCTCTGCAAGGTCCCCGTGGGCCTGCACAGCCTTGCCCAGACTCTGGCCCAGCCCCGGGACACACCGGCCTTGGGGTCCAGGGCCCTCCCCGCTGGCCGCCTGCCTCTCCCCCTTTCAGCGCCACAGCCAGCGCCTCACCTCAGGGACCTTTAACCCGGCTCCCACATCCTTCACAGGTATGCCCTCCCAAGGGGTCTCCCAAACCTGGTGGCTTTAAAAGACCCCTCCATGCCAGGACCCTTAACCCTACACCCCGAACACCGGACCTGTTCCCCCTCGCACCCACTGTGTCTCCCCTCAGAGGCCGGCAGATACCCCGGCGACCCCTCAGGCCTGCGCACCCGTGAACGCTGCTTTCTCCCTCCTCGGCCTGGGACTGGGGCCCGGGGCTCGCGCCTGACTCTCCTCTTCCCCTGATGGCCCCGGCCGTCCTGGGCGCCCCCGCCCCCAGCACATTCCTGGGGTCACTCAGGAACCTCCAGTCCCTGCCGTGCCCGCACCGCGGGCCTTTGGGAACAAGGTCAGACAGACCACATCTCCACTTGTGAATCTCCAGGCCCACAGCCCCCTGGAGGCTCTCAGTGCAGGGCCCGACCCGGGCCCCCTCGCTCCGGAGCGTGCTGTCCCCAGGCGCCCGCCACGCCGCCTTCTGGCCCCAGAGCACGCGAACCCCAGCTCCTCGCCCTCCTGAGCCCGTCACTGCCGCACGCCTGCGAAGTCACATGTAGCACATTTATGGGCCTGCTCCTCTGGGTCCCTACACTGCGGGGCTAGGACTTCGGCGCTTACGCCCACTGCCACAGCCCCCGCTCCAGGCACACAGCAGGTGCTCAATAAACACCAGACCTGGTGGCGGAGTGAAGGGTGTGTCCGGCTCACCGCCCGTGCTGGACAGGGCCTCCTCCGTCCCCCGGACCTGCGTGAGCTAACAGCACCTCGCCCCAGAGCCGGCCCCCAGGCCACAGCCGCCAGACTCCACGTGCCCGTTCTTCCTACCTGACCGCACCGTCGCCTGGTACACCCCACGCCTCTCCCCAGGTACTGGCGCCCCTCAGGGAGCCACGCCTAACGCCCGCCCGCGGTGGGGGCCAGCCTTACCTCCCCTGGGGCAGCAGGATGTTGTTCACGCCGCCCAGCTTGACGTTGATCTTCAGGCAGAGGTTGGACAGCGTCTGCGGCGTGGTCCGCTGCACGTTCTTCATCTGCACGCACTGCGTGGCCATCCCCAGCACCGTGTCTCCCACGCGCTTCACCTCGGCTGCGGAGCACAAGGACGGGGGACAGCCGTCACCTACCCGCCCGGCGGACACCGCAGGCGCCATGCACACCTGCGCCCGCTGCCGAGATTCTGCCCGCCCCTTTGGGGGCCAAGGCTGGGAAAACGGGCACGGCAGGCGGGGCGGGGGTCACGGCCTCGGGGTTGGAGTCCTGGCACCACCCGCCTGCCCTGCTGGCAGGCGCCTCACCCGCCCTCAGCTGGGGAGGCCGGGCAGGCCCGCCCCAGGCCCCAGGGTGCTGCGGGCAGTGCCCGGCGGGATCCCAGGGTCTGGCACCCCTGGGGATGAGCCCACCTTCCACTACTGTGCCCAGGGCAATGAGCAAAACCTCGGAGTTAAAAATGAAAGCGCGGGAAGCCTGCACAGCCTCGGCCCCGCCCACTGACATCAGAGAGCAGCTCCGCCCACGTCCTCCTCCGGGCTCTCCCTCCAGGCTGTGCAGAAGACCATGGGCTCCTGAGAGCAGCGAGGGGGGGCGGGGCCTCTGTCCTCCTTCATCTGGACCAGACCAGGAGGGGAGCAGGGCTTCTCGTGCCCACACCTTGTGCCCTGGGTGGGGGGCCAGCTGGCGGCAGCAACCGCCTGTCACCCTCTCTGCGCTGGCCCACGGCGCCCACCCCCGCAGGGCGTGGCCCGAAGGCCACCCTACGGGGAGCCCACGTTTCCGACAGGCCTCGGTGACGGCCGTCCCTGCGCCGTCATTGCCCGCCCGCCCAGCCCTCCCTGGAGCAGCCAGAACAGAGGGCCTGGGCTGTCGCCCAGGGCTGGTATATTTGGGCGGAGCGTGCACTGCCTTTTTGGTATAAAGGGCTCCGACGAACTTGCAGAGAATTCTGAGGGGAGCATGGCGATCACAAAAGGAGGGCCGGGTCACGGAGCGGGCGATGGCCGCCGTGGGCCCCCTGGTGCGCACTGAAGGACTGTCCCCATCCGGCCCGCACCTGTGTCGGGCGGAGGACAGGACAACCGCACACGCGCTAGCGTCCAGGAACTGCGGCCTCAGACAGGGCCGACGGGGCGGCCAGAGCATGCATCGCTCGGCCGAGGTTGCAGCCCCCAGCCCCCGCCAGTGCACAGGCGGGTCGGAAGGGGGCGCCCCGTCCGCGGGACAGATTCGGAGGGCTCGGGCCGCGGCGGAGGCCTACCGTAGACGGGGGTCTTGCCAGGCAGGATGACCACCACAAGCTGCAGGCCGGTGTAGGTGTTCTTCAGGTGCCGGAACATGGGCTCCACGCTGTCGGCGCCCTGGGCGTACTTGCAGAAGCACGGCTGGCCCTGGATGGGCATCCCGGCATCTCTCGAGATCTTCCGCAGCTGTTCCGTGAAGGACCTGCGGGGGCGCTTTCTCACTGAGGGCCTGCCGAGGCAACCCCTCGGCCCCACACCTACTCTGTCCTCACGGCGGCCGGAGTCTAAGCGGCCACCGCCGTGGTGGCACGCGCACTCATGAGAAATGCACCGAGGATGCCCCTGCGGCCCTTCTGCCGCCACCCAACAGAGGGCTCCGGACAGCGTCCGCGTTGCCTCCCCAGGCGGGACCCTCCCAGTGCTCGGTGACGACGTGCCGCCCCATCGCAGGCCTGCCCAGCCCCGCTCCCCCCAGACACACCCCGCACCCTCACACCGCGAATGCCAAGCGGTCAGGGGGACGCTGCCACTCTCGTGTGTACAACTGGGACATGTGGGTGACATAACTGTGGAGAAAACCGGACAGCGGAGCTGGAGTAACACTGGCAGCTGCTGCCACGGGCCCGTGAAGTCACGGGCGGGCAGGGGGACAGCTCAACGGCCTCTATTTTAAGCTCAGGAGTAAAAATAGCGCCGCCTTCTGCAGTGGGGCAAGGGCGCTGCAGGCCAGCCTCGCCAGCTGGTGTCCAGCACGCGCACATCAGTGCTGTTAAAGGAATAGTGTGTGTGCACCTGCATTTTACGTATCCGCGTGAATTCGCCTCGGGACCGCCTGGCTCCAGGCAGAAGCGGAGCACAGGGGCCAAGGACAGACGCAGCGGGCCGGCCCAGGTCCAGCGGCCGGGCCTCCACGTGGCTTCCGGAGCCCTCTCTGCTGCCCGCTGGCCCTGGGGGCCCAAGGACCGCCTCTCACCCTCGACATCAGCTCTCGAGGACTTTCTGGGAACCACCCTCTGCTGAAACATTTATGGGCTACACTTCTCAGGCGTTGCCTTCTCCCTCGTGGTTCCACCCAAGAGAGGAGGGAAGCGACGGCTTTTTTCTCCCCCGCGGGTTGCCTGGCACAGAAGCACAGGCATCTGCCGTGCGGTCTGGGCGTCACTGCCCTCAGAGGGTCTGCCTGCCAGCCCGGGCCCCAGTGGCACGCGGGCCTCGCGGGTGTCAGCCCCTTCCCGGAGCTATGGGGCTGGTGGGGAGCACAGAACCCCAGGAAGGTCAACCTAAGGCCCTGCTCTCCAGCCGATTTCTAATTATTGCCGTTGCCCGAGAAGCAAGAAGACCCCGCCTGCCGCCAGCCCTGTTTGGCCGTCTCCTCCTCTGGCTTCATCCTCTCCTTCTCACTAAGACACAGAAATGTGGAGCTGAGGTGCTTTTAAAAACAAGCTTTGTTTGCTGAATCCAATTTTTTCTTTTGCCTCTTTTACCCTTATTCTCATTTGCTGTTTGGTTTCTTTTTGCCCCGACAGCGGCTCCAAGGAGCAGCGGCGCAGGGGGGCCTGAGGTGCCTGGCCTGCCCCGGCCCGGCTGCTGCTCCGGGACCGAGAAAGGCTGGCGGCCCCGCCCCCGCCCGGGGCCCGCCAGCGGCCTTACTTCAGGTGGACCTCCGTGCACTGGCGCTGGGGGGCGAAGCAGGCGATGGCCCACACCTTGATCTCGATGCCCGTGTGAAACTGCTTGTTCCTCATGTCCCAGACGCCCTGGACAGGGGTGGCGATCGCTTTATTCTGCAAATGGCAAGACGTTAGAGTGAGAAAAAATGGGGAATGGAGTCCTCTAACCTTGGGTTTTGTCACTATCCAAATTGCTGCCGGCCCCCCGACCAGCCAGCGGCTCCCGAGCCTGAGAACGGAACCTTCGCCTTGTGCCCACCCTGCCTCTGCAGGTGGCCCGCAGCCGGCTGCGGGATGGGCCGACGGGTGGATGTGGGGTGAACACACAGGCGGATGGAGCACAGAGGTGGATGGAGAATGGACAGACGGGGGGATGGATGGACGGACGGACGCAGGACAGACGGGTCCATGGGTAGATGAAGATGTGAATGGAGGATGGAGGGCTGGGTGGGAGCGACCCCACCCGAGGACGAGGACGAAGACAGGGACCCCCACGCCAGGGAACACAGCAGCAGTGAGGACGGGCGGGCCCCACAGGAAACTGCCTCTGAGATTTCCACGGGCTCCAGGAGAAAACACGAAGTGAAGGAGCAGGCACAGAGGGCGTTTAATACGCTCTCTGAGTAGAAAGGGGTGAAAAAAATGTGACTCATTCCCGGGCGACTTGACAAAGGAGAGAAGGAACACCAGTTGCTTCCTGGGGAACAACGGAGAGCTGAGGGGAAGAGACTTTTTCCTGTAATTCCTTTGTATCTATTGAGCTTTAAAACATTTTTTAAAAAGCTTACATTTTGAAGTAGGAAAGAAAAAAACCCTACAAACAAAACAAAGCCTCCCAAGAGGTCCCGGGGGGCTCATCCTCCTGAGTAAACACTCCATCGGGTGCTAAGGTGTGCGGTTAGGTCAGGTCACGTCCCCGGCGAGCCGGCCGGCGACCTCTGAGGCCAAGGCCGCCCGCCCCGAGATGCCGAGCTCTGTGGCGGGAGGGGCCCGTCGGGAGCAGGGGCCTCTCGTGGGCTCTGCAGGGGCTCAGTGGCTGGGGGCCTTTGCTTATACGCGGATGAAAGCTAGAGCGTCAACGGGCAAAACCAAACAGGCACCCGAGTGACTGCTACGCTTGTTCCCAAATGCCTTCGAAACAGAGGTGCCCCATCAGGAAGCAGAGGAGCCTCCGGAAAATGTAACTCATCGCTGGCAGAGTGCCCGTTACCCAGAGGACAGTGCTCTTAACGGTTAATTCTAAAAACCTTCCAAAAGGGCAAAGGACACTCAAGCTTCTGAGAAGCCCTTAACTCTCAGGCTCAGACGAGACCGTGGTCCTCACTCTGGGGACGGTTCCGACCTGAAAGGGGTCACGTGCTGCTGCTCCACGGTCAGCGTGCAGGCAGCCCCCCCAGACACCCACGCTGCGCTGGCCCAGCCCAGCCGGCACGTACCCGGCCCCCGTAGAGGATGGAGGGCGGCTGCAGGACCCGCCCGGTCACGTCTGTCATCTCGTCTTTGACCATGATTCCAAACTCCCGGACGTACGGATCTGTATTGAAACTTGCGCTTCTCATCTTGAAAAGGGGAGGAGGAAAAGGTGGAGTCAGAGGTGGTCCGGGCTTCTTTCCAGAAGCTGTGCCTGTCCACAGCGCCTGGGGCCCCCAGCCCTGGGCGCCCTGCAATGACTGGCTCCCGAGGGTGCCCCCCCGGACTGGCCCCGGGACATGACACTCACCAGTTTGCTAATCTCTTCTTGCCTATCGGGCGCTGACCTGGCAGTCGCTCTGATCATGGTTGAGGTCTGATTGTCGGTCAACTTTTTTATACATCTCTGTCCCGCCACAATATTACAGACCTACAGGGAAGGTGCGCAAATGGGTCAGCACAGGGCTGGGGGGTGGGTGCTGGCTCTGCCCAGGACACAGGCAGATGCCAGCGGGTCCTGTGGGTTCCCGGGACCCATGCAAACAGCACACCGGCACGTGCCGCTCAATGGCCAGCTGCTCAGCAGCAGGACCTTCAATAAACCCCGCGTAACTCGAACCCAACTGGGGGCTGCACTGCTAAAAAGTGCGGCCCGAGACCACCCATGTGGGGGGCTGGGTCCCTGGGTCCCGACGTGGGTTTCGCGGCCTGCCCTCAGAACGTGGGGACGCAGAGCCGCCTGCCAACGGGAAGGAGGCCCACCTCCCGCCCCCGGCCCGGGGAGCCACGCTGGCCCTCCACGCAGGAGCGGAGGACAGCTGCCGGGACCTGCAGGCCCCCTTCCCGGGCAAGGGGTTTCCCAGTGAGCAAGGAATCAGTCTCCTTTCTGAGCACTTCCTGCCCTGCACCAGGGACCTGCTGGGCACCCCCCACACGCCCTCGTCTTCACACGCCAGAGGCACCGCACCCGCCTTAGTCACCGGGAAACTGAGGCATGATGGCGTCCCCGACCTGCCGAGCTCCCAGGGGGCAGCGGCGGTGACGCGGGCCCTGGGGGGCTCCCCGACCAGCCACGGGGATGCGCGGGGCTGGGGCACTTGCCTCTAAGGGAAGGTAGGTGTGTTTCTGCTCCTGTCCGACTTGTAAACATGGGAGGTGGGGGTAGCGCAGAACCAGCTTGTGCCTGTCCTTGAAGTACTGGGCCACCGTGCACTCCACTGTCTGGCCGCTCTCCTGCTGCAGCGGGAACCTGGGGGAGAGAGGGACCCGGGCCCGTGGGGCAGGCGTCAGGGCCCACGTGCGCCGCACACCAGGGCCGCCTCCGCGGGCAGCTCTCTCCGGTCGGGGGAACGCACGGGCCACAGCCCCTCCCAGGGCACGAGCGCGAACCCCTCTGCCGGGGTGCCTGGCTACTTCCGAGCCCTAACCTTTTACTTTCCCTCTGCAGTTGGGAAAGAAGAAAACACTCGCACGCCTACAATACGCAGTAATCCAAACGGTGCCCGACAGCTACAGCCAACACAGAACTCAGGGCAAATGAAGGCAAATCGGGACGGACAGCCGTGGGTTTCCCAGCTGACCGCTGACCGTGACTGACCCTGAGGGCCATGCGCTGCAAGCGCCGGCTGCAGAGGGGCCTGACCCTCCGGGATGGGATGACAGAAGGGATGGGCAGCTCTGCCCGGGCGGGAGAGCAGGGGCGGGTGGCCCCGGTGCTGGGACAGGTGTCCCCAGGGCTCGGTGACGGACCAGGCCTGTTCCATGGGATGACCACGGAATGAATGAGCGAGCGCTCCCTGAGCCCAGGAAGCCTTATGGTGGTGGGGGAGGGGAAGGGCGGGCCTCAATTCTCCCCACATGGACACGCCTCGGACAGCACCCCGTCCTTGGGGCCAGGCCAGTCGCTACTCGGCTTTGGACCCCGAACTGGCGAATGGGGTCAGGGCAGAGGCATAGCCTGAGACCGGCGGGGGCCGTGCCCGCAGAGCCCCTCCCTCCTGCTCTGCGCCCCGAGGACCCGGAGCAAGAAGACCCTTCTCCTGAACCTGCCGGTGGTCCGTCATCCGGCGGGGGGCCCTCACCCCCGCCCCACCCGGGGGGGGGGGCCTGTGTTTTGTTTAATTATTAGGTGGCTTGGGATCCTCTGAGCTGAAGGTGTGGTTCTGGAATTGACACTGGACCGGAATCATTTTTCCAAAAGAGTCACTGTTCCCGAGCTGGGGCTGCAGGATGGACGGCGAGGGTCGGGGGGACAGGGCGGGGGGGGGTGGTTACGTTTGGTGGCTGGCAGGCCGCCGGGTCACGTTGCAGACGCGGTACTTCCTCTTCATCTGCCCACAGTGCGTGATCTCCACCTTCAGACCTGGTGGCACAGAGCAGTGCGTCAGGGTCCCGGCGCCCTGGCTGGCAGCGCAAGCCCGTGTCCCACCCACCTGCTCGCAGAGGGACCGCTGCCAGGCCCGCGCTGGGCATCCTGGGACAGCAGGGCGGAGCGACGCCGGGCTGGGCCAGGCTCGCCCGCGGGGATGCCCTCCGCCCCAGCTGCGCCAAGGCCACAGGCAGGACACTGTTCTTGAAGAGAAGGGGACTGGGTTTGGCTCAGACTGGAGGCTGCGTTGGCCACCTCGGCTTTCTGTGCCTCCTTCAGAGGTATTTTTAGCACCCAGTGCTGCTCCGGGCCTCAGAAAGGGACAGGTGCAGAGGGCCCTGGCCAGACCACCGAGCCCTGGCTTGCGTTTGCTCGAGCGCCACTGGGCAGCGTGGGCGCGGCCACACCGGGGCAGTGAGGGTGAAAGGCAAGCGGTGGCGGGGGGGCGCCCCGCATTCTGGAAGGTCATGAAACACGGGCGATATTTTGCGTCAGGACCACGCTCATTGAGGACGGGGGCGTTCGTGGGCCACCACCCTGCCCCACGCCCCACGGGCTGTCTGTCGTTCATTCAGGACAAGGACGTTACCGTCCCGCTCTGTGAGGAGGGTTTACACCACGCCTACACTAGCTCACCCGAGGGCAACGTCGCCCCCAGACCCCCGCGCAGCAGCAGGAGCTCCTGCCGGGCCGGGAGGGCAGGCCACGCAGGCGCCAGGCTGGCTCCTACCTTTGATTTCTTTGGTAAACTTGACCCTTTGGGAATCTGTCAGAGGTTTTTGTTGTTCTTCAATACTTTTAAAATCCAAAACTTCACAAACAAACTCGATTACTGGCTGTGCCTTATAGAACGCTGTTGCCGAGACTGGAGGCGGGAAGAGAGAGACAAAGGCAGAGGAGAGTGACACCGGGGTCCACGCGACGGCGCCGGGCCGGGCGAGGGGCACCCGCGCTGTCCTCGCTGTCCGCGGGGGCGGCTCGGGCCCGGCCACAGCCCGATACTCCCTCTGGCCACGAGCGGCCGCAAGGGGCTGCTAGAGTCTGAAGCCCTCTGAGAAAAAAAATAGGTGTAAAACAAACCCTGACATCACGACAACCGTGCAGGTGGGATTTCCTGGCTCCCCTGGTGTAGACCCCGTAGAGGTCGCCCCCGCAGCTGGGGGGGCCCGCCCGAGAACCACACGGGGAAGAAGGGGACAGGAGGCGGGTCATCCACGCATCGCCTCCATGCAAAACTGACGCCGCCCCAGTGGACGCCAGCCGCAGCGCCTGGGACCCCGTTAGGGACGCAGGCCCCGGCCTGGGGCGATGCAGCGCCTCTGGCTCCCGCAGAGGCTGTGTCTGGAGTTGCCCCACGGACCGCCCCCCCCCAAGGTCTGGTGTTGCGGCCCCCAACCCCCCCACCCCCGACAAGGAAGACCGGGCTCTGCTCACCGTCGATATTGAGCATCATTTTCCAAAGAGAAGGGCGGACGGACTGGTGGAAGCCAAACCACACCTCCCGGCCCCCGCCCAGGGGGTTGGAGCAGCCCTCGGACGCCGTGAAAAAGGAGCGCCCCACGGGCGTGTACCTGCGACCAGAGAGACCCCAGCTGACCCCGGCGGCCGGCCCTGCTGCGTCAGCGGGGGCGGCGGGGGCGCGCGCGCGGCCGGCGCAGAGGTGCACTTCCGTTCCAGGCTCTGCCGTGCGCCGCGCACGCGCCCCAGGAGCTAGTGCGGCCCCTGCCCAGCCATCTGGCCAGTCACGAGCCGTTAGAGGGCCACCCCCTTACAGCGTCACCCCCTCTCTGCCCCAGCAAGTTGTGGTGTGGCGGCCGGTGGTGAGGAAGTAATCCCACCGGATCGAGCACACGCTGGCAGCGTGCACAGGGCTCCCTGCCGCCCTGAGAGGCCCTCCCCACGTCCCCATGGCAAAGCGCCGGCACGTGCAGAACTTGGACACTGTCCCACTCTGACACGTCCCGAGTGTGAAGGCAACGGAGAAACAGAGCGGTGTTCCTGGCACCGGGCAGAGCCGAAGAACCGGCCGCGCGCTAGCTCGGGGGCCCCCTTTCTCTGCTCAGCTGAGGATCCCGGGGAACTGTTTTTACACGGAAGTTGGCTCTCAGTTAGCACTGCCGTTATCTGCATCCCAGAAACCCATGTGACCGCTGCCCCCGGACGCCGGCAACCGGCTCCTCCCACACAGAGCTCAGGCTCCTCGGGCAACGCCGGACTTGGGCGGGCGCTCCTGGCACGGGGGGCCCCACTCGCGGACGGGTCTCACCTCATGGACGGCAGGTGCCTCATGACCACATCTAGGGCCTGGATCGTCTCAAAGGGGACGCTGGGCAGCCGCCCCGAAAGTGCATCGTGTAACGCCTGCAAGCTCACGCAGGACACCCACTTGATGGACACCTTGAAGATGCGGTCCTTCCCTTCTCCCGGCAGCGTGACCTCCAGCTCCACCTGCGAGGGGTCAGGGCACACGGTGACGCACGCTGCCCCGAAGACAGCGCCGGGCGGCCGGGGGCCACGGGCCAGCCCTCCCCGCCCCGGGCAGGGAGGCTCCGTCAGCGCCCCCTGCGCGCCTCCCTGGGGCACGCGCATCCCTCCTGCCGGCCGGCACAGCCACAGCAGAGGCTGGACTCCCGCCGGCCACCTGAGAGGCCACCACGAGGCGGGGACAGGAGAACCGCCAGGCTCACAGCGCTCTCGGTCGGACCCGCTGTCTCGCCAGAGGGTGCGCGGACCCGACAGCGCAGGGGCGATGGGCATTTCAAGGGAAGTGTCCCACGGCATGGGGCAGGGGGCACCGGGCCCCGGCACCACGACTGGGACATGGGGTGAGGACAGCCCGCATGCCTGTCTGGGCTGCCATCCAGCGGTGCTGGCCCATGAACCAAGACACTTCAGTCTTTAAACAGCCTGACTCCCGGAGCCAGCAACGTGGCACCGCCTGGGGTCCCCAGGACGCGAGCTCCCAGCTCTGCATCCTGTGCTCTGGCCGCGCGCAGGCAGGCGGCTGTATCGGGCTCCCTGGATGTGCTTATGGGACAAGAGGGCGGCCCGCCCACCTCATGGGTCACTGTGCCAGCCAAGGACACCAGAGCCCGGGAGGAGCTGCATGTGATGCAGGGACACTACCAACCACGGGCAACTGGAACGTTGGCAGAAAGCCCCAACCGAGGGCCTGAGAGTGGCGAGACAGCCGCGCGCTGCCGTCTCCGCGGACAGACTCAGCCCCACGCTCACCCCCTCGGTCCGAGGGCCACCAGGGTGGCAGACTTAGAACCATGACGGGAGGGGTCCAGCTTAGGAACAAAGACGGGGACAGTGCTGCAAGGAAAACAAAGGTCGTGTGGGACGGCAAGAGGGCCGCGAAGCGGCTGTGTCTCCATCAGGGGTCCTGTCTGGAGCTTGGCCGCTGTGCGGGCCGAGGCCCCGCCAACTCGCTGCCACCGGCTCCGGAGAAGGACCGACGATGCTGGCAGGGCCCGGGGTGCCCCCAGACCCCAGCTGGCCCTGCCTGTGGCCTGTGGGCTGGAGCCCGTGCCAGGCTCCAGGTCACGGGCCCTTTCCAGTAGGGGTGGGCAGGTCACATCTTGTTTTAAATGTGCACAGGGAGCTGATACCTCGCGATGCAAGTGTCAGCGCCCTCCGCACCACATCACCCAGGAAGAAAAGACAGCCTCACCCAGCATGTTCGCAGGAGATTCAAAGTCACCCTTGGCAAGGAACACCAGCAGGTACAGGAACTGGCTGCTCTGTTAGGTGTGACCTGCTGGGCCCCCCCAACCTGGGCCAGCTACGTTCAGGCACCTTGACAAATGCACCTTCAGTCCCGGAAGGCAGCAGGTTAGCCCCCAAGAGGAGCAGAGAGGCTGTGTAGACCCCTGCCTGCGCGCCACCCCAGGAGCGGACCCCAGGGATGGCTCCCTGTCCCCCCACCACCTTGCCTGTCCAGTCCCACCTGTCCGCAAACCTCCGGAGGCTTCCCTGCCCCGCTCCGAACGCCCACACCTGCCAGTGCAGGTCGGCGTCACCGCGGGGCACTCACGGCCCCGACACGCCCAGGGGGCACAGGGCCGAGCAGGCAGGAGCACCGGGCAGACTGAGTGTGAGCCCACCGTGCCCCGCGGTGACGCCGGCCGCGCGGGAGCCGCCCGCAGTGCAAGGTGTGAACGTGGCCTAACGCGCCGCCTTCTCCTAGGAAGTGGGCGCTGACCAGGCCTCCCCGGGTCGCCAGACAGGCAGGAGCTCCAGGGAGTGGCCGACCCAGAGCTGGGCCGGCGCCAGCAACAAGCGACACCCACTCCTGTCCCACAGATCATGCTGATTCTGTGTCACCGCTAAAAGAGGCCCGGCAGTCAAGCCAAGCTTGTGGGCGACCTGTACAGCTGCCTCTGCGTCCTGTTCTGAAAAGTGAGGGGCTGGCCGGGGCGGCCCTCCAGCCCTGCCGGCGCGCGGCCTTCCCGCACAGCACAGGGCCTCGGCGGCGCCCGCGGTTCCGCAGGAGAGGCTGCAAGCTGGGGCAACAGCTACCTCCCCTGAGTAAGGGCCCCGGCCCCCATCCAGCCGCTGGCTGACGCCTGGTTAGCACGACGCGAACGGATTTCTCTCTTCCTACAGACATGCCCGTGCTACAAAGAAGAGTACTTTATGGAAAAAAGCACACCATGAAAGCCAAAAAGGTGGCCCCTGGCTACGAGATGTGAGCGCAACAGCGACAGAAAAGGGCGGCCCGTCCTGCTGCAGCTCCCACACACGAGGCGGGCGCCCGCACATCACGGCGGCCGACGGCCCTGAAAACGAGCGGCCGGATGGCTGCCGTCGGCGCCCTGGCACGGCAGACACTGCGGCTGGGAGCTTCTCTGAACTCACCCTAAAATAGGGCGAGAATGGGTGGGATTAAACCCGAGGGACACGGAGTACACACACGGTGGGCACTGGGGCAGGGCTCCCGCAGACATCGGGCAGTGACGCGTGAGGGTGGCAGGCACGGGCCCTGAGGACTAGTCACAGCCCGGCAGGACTGGCCGGGGGCCTCGGAGCCTGGGACCAGTGGTATGACTTGGGGGCTGGACAAAGCCACAGGCGGCCCAGAGACCCAGGGCCACAGGCGGCACTGGGGATGGGGTGGGGTGGGGGGCTCTTTTTGGACACAGCCACGCAGGGATCCAGGGGGTGGCTTACCCAGGGCGCGGCTTACCCAGGGCGCCACCATGAGGAAGGACGAAGCGCGGATTCAAGTCAGACCTTCTGTCACTTGGGACTGTGCTGTGAACTTCTACAGGGACGGGACTCAGGTCCCAACAGCGGACGGATGTCCTGGACCCACCCCCACCTTCTGGAGGAAAATACTCCTCGCCCCCGCCCCCCACCGATTGTGTAAACATAAATAAGTAGGGACAGAACTGTGAATAAACTCCTTATGCTTTCTTTGTTACACAACCTTAAACAAAAACAAATGTGCAAATTAAACACAAAGCTGAATGATCAATCAGCTGCAAGCGCACAGCTCGCCACTGTGTGGGGTGCCTCCCCCATCCCGGCAGGCGCAGGCCCTGGTGCTCCCTCGAACCGGGACGCCAGCGTCAATCGCCCCGTGCCAGGCGGCACGCCGGCGCTATCTCTGGGAGTCACCGTGGGGCCTTCGGTGCGGAGCCCTTGTCCCCGCGGCCCCCCCTCTGCCGCAGCTGCATCGTCCTCCCTTATCAGGCCGCGCGACCCCGAGCCGGGGCTGGAACCACCCACCCAGACGGGCGAGGGGAGTCAGTCCTCTGAGGATGATAAAAAAACGCAAGAGCAAAACAGTGCAAGTCCCGTGGGCGAGCGGGCAGGTCGCGGGACAGCCGCTGAGACCCTCGCCGCTCGGAGCCGCGCGCCTCCCCGGGGCCTCAGGGCTTAGGAAGCGAATCGTGTGGGTCGTCCTCAAAGGAAACCAGCTCTTCCACTCCCATCGGGAGAGGTCGGGTACTTTCATAAAAAGTTTGTGTGAGGATGATTTCTGAGCTGAATCTCTGCTCTGCTGCTCAAGAGACATCATGAACACCCTGGGGCAGCCCCCCATTGGGAGATGTGCCGAGAAGTGGCCACTTCTGGCCGAAGCTTCATTGCTCTTTAAACGGAGCCATGTAATGGAGAAAGGCATCAGGGAAGGGTGACCGCAAACCAGCAGCACCCCGGGGCGGGCACCCTGGTGCGCGGGTTATTTCAGGGCCAGCGCTGGCTCGGCGCCGCCGCCACAGTCGCACGCACCTGCTGCCAGCGAGCCCACCGCCCGCCACCCCACCGCCATCCCGCCTCCTGCCTGCCAGTGGCTCGGGGCGCCTGCCTGGGCCTCCGTTTCCCATTTGAAAGCCTAGTGGTTTCAAGTCGTTCCCGAAGGCTGTCTCTGGGTGCAGACAGCTTAAGCCTCCTCCCCTGACAACCAGGCACCCGGAGGGCAGCCCCCACGGCCCACAGGGCGTGGCGCAGCCGATCGGCGCCCACCGCCCCCGCGCGAGGACGGGCCACCCCTGCAGCCAGTCACAACGCCGGCCCCAGCCGCCGCCGGGGACCCACCTTCTCCCTCCCGATCGGAAGGGGCATGGCTGTGTAGAGGTTCTTCCTTCCGTCGAACACTGGCTTCCGATCCCCAAAGATCTGTGTTTTAAAGTGCTGGACCATATGCTCCACGATTTCCCTGAAACGAAAGAATTCGGGCAAAGTGTCAATAAGATCAGAGAAATGGCACCCGGGGCCAGCCTCCTTCCGACACGGACTCGTAAGCAATTCTGTAAGCCCTGTGGCTCCTTTGAGAGACGCGACTGTCATCGCTCCTCTGTGGAGATTCACGCTGGGACCCTCGGTGGGTTCACCCCGCTCACCGAGTCGCGGGAACGTTGGAGAGCGTCCTCCCCAAGAGCCACCTTGAGCGCTGCAGGTGGCAGTCGCCGGAAGCCCCCAGAATGCCCCGGGCACTGAGCAGCAGCCCGCGGGGCGGGACTCCTGTGGCCGAGGCCCTGGGACAGACTGCCACCGGCTTGGCTGTGTGACTCCGCGGGCCTCCCCCCAGGGCACAGAGCACAGCCCCCACCCCAATGACATCGGGGGCAGGCCCGGCCGTGGGCCTTGCTGTGGCCGCCGGAAAGTCACGGGACGTGATGCCAGCAGGGGTGTCCGGGGGTCCATGCGATTGGCCTGGCCTCCTGCCAAGAACGCGTGCCAGGCGCTGCCACCGTCTCGGTCTGGCCCCAGAGCAAAGCCCTGAGTTTGACCCGGAGCCCGAGTCCCACTGACCCAGCAGGCCCTGTCCCACCAGAGCCCCCCGTGGGGCCAGGAGCACCCAGCAGGTCTGCGGGGCACAGCGTGGAGACGTGTCTGCGGGCCCCCCAGCAGCAGGCACCCCGGGAGCGCACAGGAACTGCTCTGCCGTGGTGTGCCAGGGTGCTGCAGACACGCACTCCGCAGGCAACGGGAGGCAGGCAGGGCCTGGGCAGCCACACGTCCCTGCGCTGGCCCCAGCACCCCAGGCCATTGGTCCGGGGAGGCGCGGGGTGCCCCTGCCCACTCGCTGCCTGCCTGGCCGTCCTGCGCACGCTGCCTGAGAGCCCAGCGGGGAGGGCCAGGACCCTGCCCGGCCCTGAGACCCTCGGCACGGCGCACATGGAGGGACCAGTAGTTAACGGCCGTCAGGTTCAAAATCTGGGCCACCACCAGGAAGCAGAAGCTGCTGGGATGTGGCAAAGGACAGATGGATCCTGGCAGCAGGGCAGGGGACAGAGGGGGCGGGGGAAGGAGGCCTTGAAGGCTGCCCCAGGGGGGGATGGAGCCCAGCCCTGCCGCGAGGGCTTGCTCTGGGGCAGGGCCTTGGCCATCTTTCAGGGAGCAAGACTCAGACTCGTTCCATGCCTTTCCCAGAACACGAGGAAAGCCGGCCAAAGCGGCTTTCCGTATTCCAAGAGCTTTGCCGGGTTGACCTTCAACTGTACTGACCACGGGAGGCGAGTCTCCAGGGACCCGCCAATCGGCCCCAAACACCCCAGCCTGGGAGTCCCCGGAGCCGACGGGGCCTCTTGCCGCAGCCTCTGTGGCGGCGCCCCCGAGAATGCACCAGGCCTCTGGCGCCAGCTGGGAGGGCGCCGGCTGGCAGCGTGAAACCCAGGGGCCCCCGACCGGCCTCCGCCTCCGCCGTCTCTGACTGGCGGCCGGGGCCCAGCCGCACCTGCATCTGCACGTGCCACCCTGGGCCACCTCCATGGGCCATCAACAGGCCACTGCTCACATCCCAGGCTCCAAGGACCCCACCTTCACGGTCGACTCATGATCAGCTCTAGGTCCAGATGGCTCCCCTCGCATTCCAAAAACAGATTGCCCAGCTAAATTCAAGCCTATCGTGAATGGGGTTCAGAGGGCACACGCCCCGAGTCCCTTCACGGGGCCAGCGCCACTCCGAAACCCAACACGGCGATTGCTGGCCAATCTCACGTATAAACACAGATGGAGAAACAAAGTATTAGCAAGCAGACTCCAGCAGCACGTTAAAAACAACACAGTGTGAACGCTGGGCGGCTGCCAGGAACGACAGGTCCCGCTTAACGCGATACACGTAACTGATGTGAAATTACAGACTTCAGTTAGAAGCTGTAGAGCTTTTGGAAGAAAACAAGAGAAAAACCTTCAAGAACTCTGGGAAAAACCAAGATACTTTAGAACATAAATAGTATCAACTGTAAAAGAAACAAAAAACTGGAGTTCAGAAAAATTAAAAATCTGTACTCTTAAAAGATACCTTGAATGCAAAACAATTCAGCCACTTAGGGCGAAAGTCTGCCTGTTCACACAAAGGCTGCTGTGTACACCGCACCGCCCAGCACCACCCGACAGACACACAGAAGATGTGCACGCGTGTAACCACGGCCACGCCTGTATGCAGATACCTGTGTCAGCCCCAAACTGGGAACAACTCAACGTCCCCCACACGGTGAATGAGCTACAGAACAACATCACAGTGGGACGTGTTTATTCTGCTCCTGAAATGCTAGTACACGCAGCAGGAGGGTCGCTTAAAAACAAGCTCAGGGGAAGAGGGCAGATAAAGCGGGACGTACGGCATGATCCCATCCGTACGACATTTTCTAATGGGCAAAAAATAATCTATGTTGCCCAGAGGCACTTCAGTGAGGGGCGGGGGCAGGGGACTGAGGGCAGAGGACTCACTGCGGAGGGGCAGCGAAGAGCTCTGGGGTTGTCGGAGTGCCGCACGCCTCAGTCGGTACACGTGTGTGTACAGTTTTAACACTATGTTACCTAAGTGTGTACCTTTTTTACAGCTCACATAACTATACTTGAATATGGTTTATTGTAGCTACTTATATCTCAATAAAGTTTATTCATATTTTAAAAGTAAAATGTAAAATGTTTAAAAAAAAAAACAAAACCCTTTCTTTCTTTTATTGATTCCAGAGGGAGGGAAAAGGAGAAAGAGAGGAAGAGAAACATCGATGTGAGAGAGAAACAGTGGTTGCCTGCTGTACATGCCCCGACTGGGGACTTAACCCACAACCCAGGCCTGTGCCCTGACCAGGAATTCTACCCGTGCCTTTTCAGTTTGCAGGACGACACCCAACTGAGACCCTGGCCAGAGCAAGTACAAAAGGTTTAAAATTATGATAACCTCAGTGATGCAGGAAAAAAGCATTTAATAAAATTCAGTACCCAGGCATGGTTTCTGCGAATGAGCCAGTGAGGAAGGGAAGGAAATGTCCTCAATCTGGCAGAGCACCCCCCGCCCGCCCCCGCCTGAGATTCCCAACGCCGGGCTGCAGCGCGGCCACCGCAGCGGGCAGGAGAAAGCGGGGGACCGCACGGAAGGACGAACTGCCCTTATTCGTGGATGTGAGGCCCGACAAACCCACGGAGAACCCCGGGAGCTCCCAGGAGACAGGAGGCTGGCCGTGTGACTCTGGGCACTCTGGGGCCCAGCAGACAGTGGGGCCTCCACACACAGTCCCCGAACAACCGCACACATGCCCACCCCCCGCCCTGTGCTAAGTCTTCATCCGCTCCCTCCTCCGCTCCGCAGTCCTTCTGTGCTCCCAGGGCCTGGGGGTGGGGCTGGGGCAGGGGGAGCCAAGGGGCGAAGAGCCCAGGCAGCGAAGAGCCCAACCGGCAGGGGAACCCACTTCAGGACCAGCGCCCAGGAAGCCCAGTCCGTGCAGACCGGGATGGGGGACGGGCCTGGGAAGCCAGACGGGTGTGCCTGCGCCCCATCTGCTCGGCCTCGAAAGAGCTGCGACTCCCCGCACCGGTGTGCTTTCTGGCCAGAGCTCCTTCTTTCCCCGCTTCCTCCCTTCCTCCCCCCCCTCCCCCTTCCTTCCTTCCGTCCTCCCTTCCTCCCTTTCCTCCTTCCTTCCTTCCCCCTTCCTTCCTTCCTTCCCCCCTTCCCCTTCCTTCCTCCCTTCCCTCCCTTCCCTGCTCTCTCCCTTTCCCTTTATCTCAGTTTTGGTAGTGAACAGGTAACATAAAATGTGCCGTTTTGGTCGTTTTTCCATGTACATCTCAGCAGCATGAAGTACATTCACACTGCTGTTGTACAACCATCACCACATCGACCTCCAGATTTCCAGAAACTTCTCTCACTCCCCAGCGACAGCTCTGTTCCCAAGACAAAGTAACTCCCCACCCCCTGCTGCCCAGGCCCCGGGTTTCCCCAGCCCCCTAGCCGAGCTGCCCTGCAGTGAGGGGGCCGCCTGGGGACACGTTCAGTTCCTCCTTAGCTTCAGGCCTGGCCACGGGGCTCCCCTGACAGTCCCCGCCTTCCCGTGCCGGGCTCCCTACGGAGGGGCCTACGGACAAATGCTGAGTGACAGCCGCAGCCGCTGGCGACAGGTCAGCACGCCCCGCCCGCCAGGCAACGCGGTCAGTCCTCCAACAACGCCCGACGCCGACACCCTCATCGACGGGGACGACCCCTCATTGGTGGGGACGCGGAGGAGACGCATGGCCACGCGCTGGCACGAGGCAGCGACAAGGCGCCACACGTGCCACCGCACCGTCACGGGACAGGCTTGCCAGCCCAGAGGCTGGTGTGCTCTCTGTTAGCGTGTCTGCCTTTTTGCCACACCAATGGGAAGTTCTCTTCTTAAAGAGACATCCTTTTGTTAATTTCTAATTACACAGGGTTGACATTAAATATGTTCTCATTGTACATTTCAAATGCGGATAATGCTGCCAGTCTGCCTGGACCACCTCCTCACCTCCATCGTGTTCCTGCAAGTCACCTGCGCATTTTCGGACCTGTGCGTCCACATAACTATGTAGGCACCAGAAAAGAAACCCTCCCTCCCACCGTATTGTCATTATTTAAAAGATTTTATTTATTTTTAGAGAGAGGGGAGGGAGGCAGACAGAGAGACAGAGAAACATCATTGTGTGAGAGACACGGATCGGTTGCCTCGCACGCCCCCAAGCAGGGGACCTGGCCTGCACCCCAGGCCTGGGCCCCGACTGGGAATCCAACCGGCGACCCTGTGGTTCGCAGGCCGGTGCTCAGTCCCCTGAGCCCCACCAGCCGGGACTCTGTTGCCATTTTTTAAACCCACCGCGTCCAGCACGTGGTTGGGGAGCTGGCCGCTTTCCCACCCTGTCACCGCACACAGAGCCGTCATCGAGGGCAGAGAGCGAGCTGTCACTGCAGCATGT